GCTCCCCGCCCGCTGCCCTGCCTCTTGTTGCTACCCCCCCCCTCCACTAGCTTGCTGCCCTGCCCTCTCCTGTAGCTTGCTGCCCCACCCTCCTGCTGATCCAATCGTGATGCAGTCGGGTTGTTACACTTCATGGCATAACGACCATTTGCACATTACATCTTTATTATATAGAATATATATTGATTTATTTCAGAGAGGAAGGGAAAGGAAGAGAGAGACAGAAACATCGATGATGAGAGAGAATCAGCTGTTTCCTGCATACCCTCCACTGGGGATCAAGCCTACAACTTGGGCCTCACGCCCCCCACCCACCAGAACAGAACCTGGGACCCTTCAGTTGTCAGGCTGACACTCTAACCAGCTAGGGCCTAAGTCCACTTTTAAATTGCATCTATTTCAAATTTATTTTTTACCCTACCCCAAGAAATTAATGAGGGTAGCTGTTTTTGCAATCAAGCAAATAAGAGATGTAGATTCAAAAATATTACTATAATATACTCTATTAAAAGCACTTTGTTGCCCTAACCGGTTTGGCTCAGTGGATAGAGCATCAGCCTGTGGACTGAAGGGTCCCAGGTTCAATTCCGGTCAAGGGCATGCACCTTGGTTACAGGCACATCCCCAGTAAGGGGGTGTGCAGAAGGCAGCTGATCAATGTTTCTCTCTCATCGATGTTTCTAACTCTCTATCCCTCTCCCTTCCTCTCTGTAAAAAATCAATAAAATATATTTTTTAAAAAGCACTTTGTTTATAAACTTAAGGCACTCTACTTTTGTCAATTTAGCAATTTGAGAAATGAAAAAGTGCCAAATAGGATGAATGATCCAGCTATTTAATTGATCCCATTATCTAGCATTGTATAACTTAAGGTAATTATTTCTTCTCTATGTTTGTCCTTCCAGAATGTCAGAATTATACGTCCAACACTTTTAAATGCCCTAGAGTTTATATGTGGAAAACTAGTACAAATAAAGTTAAGCAAAAGTTTTATTGGCTTCCATAAGCATTTCTACACTTTCTATAAATCTACAGAGAATTAAAAGTATTTAAATCCAACTAGCTCATATTATACATAATTTTTTCTTCCACACAGGAATACTCATCAACACTTTTGCTCAATGGTTATGAGACCCTAGAAGATTTAAAGGATATAAAAGAGAGTCATCTCATTGAATTAAACATTAAAAACCCAGAAGACAGGAAGAGGTTACTATCAGCTGCTGAAAATCTCCTTGATGAAGAAAGTAAGTTTGCACACCTATTTTTCTCCCTAGCTAATAATAACAGTTTAATGTAAATAGTGAAATCATTAAAAACAAAGTCCCAATATAATTTGACGAGAATCATATAAAGCATTCTTTCCCATAAAATAAGTGTATTCTTATACATTTGTAAACAATAACTCTGATCAAATATATAATTAGAAAGAGGTCTTTTTTTTCCTTTTGGACTCAGAAAATGAAAGGTCTTTTCTGGGTCCCTCATTTAGATTATGCAGTTATTAATTTACATGCAAGTGCATGTCTGCATTGCCAAAGACTGGAGCAGATAGAGGCAAACATTTAGTGGCAGCATGCGCCATTAGTGAGAAATGTCATAAGCAGCTCCTGTAGAACAGCCCAGAGCTTGGCTCCAAACTAACGAACCTTCATGCCACACAAGAAGATTCATTTTATTACCATATAGTCGCATCGTGTATGTGTTTATACTGTTCTTTCAACATGTTAAAATAGCTTGCAAAAATATTCAGCAGTCCATGTTATTATCTGAGATGGCTCTGGGTGTTTGTGAGTATAAACTGAAGATGGAGGAATATATGCAGACTTACTTGTGCCAGAATACTGGCTATACCAACTGGGTTTGTAGAGAGAGGTTAGCTTTTGCTTTTACAATTGCTCAGCCTGAACACTCTTCTTACTAAATCTGGTCAGGCTCCCAGAACCCTGAGTTCAGAACATGCCAAGCTCTGCAAGGAATATTTTGTTAGAAAAAAGGAAAGAAGTACCTAATTTTAAAGATGAAGAATAACTAAGATCACCCAATCCAATCTTCTCTTTCAAAAGTAATAATTATAATAAGCATTAACTACTTTTTTAACATGTTCTGAGTACAATTTTGAGCCAAGTTCTTCACATTTATTGCCTTCTGCAATGTTCTCCATAACTCTGTAAGATAGGACTGCCCCCATTTTATAATGAGAAATTGAGAAGATTAGTAACTTGTCCAAGCTCACCTACCTAGCAAATTGGAAAGCTAGGACCAGTGTTTGTGATGCGGTGCTATACTTTCTAACACTGGAAATAACAGTCCAGAGTAGGGAGGAGAGGTGCACTTAGGACCCAGGCCTCCTGGCTGTCCCTTCATGGGCTCCCCTACATCCTCTCTCTTATATCCCCCAAATGGGCATATTTGCACAACACATATTTATAAATACTGGCCTGTTATCTAGAGGGAATTCATTTTTTTAAGAAATTGTACCTTTACTTTTTTTTTTACTTGCTGTCTTGAGTTTGCATAGATCTTCATCCTTTTCAAAAAGCTTTCATGTGTATGACTAATTTGAAACCTGCAGAATTGATTTCACCCTTAGGCCTATGTGCTTGTGTGCATTCTTTGAAGTTGTGGCAGCTAGGAGATGCAAAGAGAGGGGATAGGGTCACAGGGGCAGACAAAGAGCAAACTTAAGTAGCCAGTGTACTCAACAGTCCAAGCCCAAACAGAACTGATCAGCTTAAATTGAGGTAGCAGTATCTTTCATGTAAATGAGGCAGTTTTTTGTCACATCTTGTCATTTTAAAATATGCCTCCTCTGTAAGCAATGTTAGACTAAGAAACAGATTCTGTAGATTTTTTGTAATTGATAATGTTCAGTATCATTGTCAATACTCTTCAAACTAATTTGACATTGAAGTAGAGGGCAGGAGAAGACAGTATTTTTTGGACACTTGCACAAAATTGCATTTCTTCTGCAATGCCATCCATGTCGGTATTTTGCCAACTTTGCAGATAAGAAAACATTTTAGAGATGAACTTCCAAGAGGCCAGACAGCTAGATAAGTAGCAGAGCTAGGGTTTCAATCAAAAGCAGTATGCTATAAAACCCCACATTTTTCCTTCCACATAGGCAAATTGATAAATATGAAAACAACAACGAATGTTTAAAAACTTAAAATTACTACTACTTTCCAATTTTTTCAGCAGCTTAAGTTCAGTTTTCTATCTCAGAAAGTGGAAGCTAGTATTTAAATGAGAATGGAAACCTTATAACGGCCTGACTCGCTGAAAGGCAGGAGCTGCTGTGATTGCACTGCAACAAGATTTGTGAATAGAAGGGGCCTTAGAGCCCCCATAAGCCGGCTTTCAGCTGTAGAGCAGCTTTCAGCAAGGACCCACAGAGGGAAGATCAGAAAAGTACCAAATGCTTGGGCCACTTGTAGTGTCCACTTCCAATTTTTCATTCCAACTCCCTTATCACCCATCTACTTTCTCTGTTAACAACAAAAAACATATAATGATTTATCTTACCTAAATTCTTCCTTTGTAACATGAAGGAAGTAAAACTAGAGTAGGTGTCTTTCTCAAGGTCATGTATCTAGAACCCATCTACTAAATCCAGATATTAGAAACACATACTGCTATACCCTGATCTCTGAAAACAAAGCACAATATCTCCAAAGCATGATGTGAAATGCAATGTTTGCTATAAAAAAGTACAAATCCTCCAAATTATTTCCCTTGTAAAACTTTAGAAAATGGTACTTGAAGGTCACTAGAAGTTGATCATTTAATAATAGCCAGTAATGTACAAACATACATACACTGAGCCCAATTCTAGGAGATGAAAATGGAAAAAAATGCAGACTCAACTAGTGTTTGTTGTAAACACAC